AAGAGGATAGACTATGAGTAGCACCAGCACCAGGGTAGGCAGAAAAGGTGGCCACTTATGTGGTAGGATTTGAGGAACATTTGGACAGGTCCCCACTTTCAATAAAATATCTCCCTCCAACAGCTGCTAATAGTTGAAATTCAACTATTAAAAGATCATTCCTTTAAATGCACTTGGGAAGAAAAGTTACTCTTTATCACTTTAGTCTGAATTAGTTAGCTGGATGTTTTCAGGAGAACAGCTCTATTACAGAATGAGGCATACAATAGGTATGTGTTCATGCACATGATGATAGAAAGAGAAATCCAGAATGGCAGTGCTACCTGAGGACAGCAATCGGAGAGCAGGAAGTAATTTCATTGGAGAGTTCTAAGAATTAAAAAAGCAGCGTAAAGAACCTACCTCAAAATGAGGAGGAAGGGTGGTTGACTCTGAGGTCAAACTTTATTTAATATATGCAAGAGGTGGTCACTCAGCTGAGGCCCCAGGGCTGGCAACAGTACCAGCACCTGTTCCATAGCCTAACCATACGTTTGTGTACTGGGTTCATTGAGATGGGAATCCTGAGTTCTCAATATTTTGGGATCTAGTCTAGGATTTTCCCAAAAAAGGAAGGGGGAGTAAAATAGGTATACTGAATGTACAGATATGAACTAAGTATAGGACAAGTAATTAATTCCTACTTGACCCCATTTGGTGTTTTCTTGGCAAAGATACTAGAGTGGTTTGCCATTTTCTTCTCCAGCTCCTTTTACAGATGAGGAAATGGAGGCAAACAGGGTTAAGTGACTTGCCCAGGGTCACGCAGCTAGGAAGTGTCTGAGGCTGGATTCCTTGACTCCAGGCAGGGCCATCTATCCATTGGGCCACCTAGCTGCCCAAACATAACAACAATTAATTCCTACTTAATAATTAGTACCAGTGCATCATAGCTTGCATTACTGAATGACAAGAACAGGATTTGGGAGCTCACTGATTACTATTAGCACAGTCAGTTGGAAAGCCCATTTTAAGCCTCACTGTGGCATAAAACGGGTCCTACAAGGCCATTAATTGTCATTTCACATTTTAGCTCTATGCTAGGCACCGTCTAGATGAAACAGCCCCCAGCTTGATCTTTTTGGTCACCTCTGATCAATGCCAACAATTTCCTTTCCAAAAATTGAGTTCTGCTACTCCTACTGAAACTGCAATTGCTCTGGTACATATTGCCTCTATTGTCAGTTAGCTCTTGTATCTGCTAAAACTTCAGATCTACTAATGGGGAGGAAACCCCAAAAGGTAGGCAAAGGCAGCCAAGTACTCCATAGAGTACAGGCTCATATGGCTTCAGTTCCCCTGCCCTAGATAATCAAATGGGCAAAGTCATCATGATCCCAGGATAGAGAGGCACCCTGTTTCTTCCCATCCCTTGTTAGAATTACATTTTGTCAAACTATCTTAAGGGCTGTAGCCAGGAAAAGCCAGAAGTTATCCCCTTTTTTTTGTTTTTTGGTGAGGCAGTCAGGGTTAAGTGACTTGCTCAGGGTCACACAGTAAGTGTTAAGTGTCTGAGGCTGGATTTGAACTCAGGTGCTTTGGACTCCAACGCCAGAGCTCTATCCACTGCCCCCTATCCTCTCTTTTTTCAAAGGTCCTTTGGGTTCTCAGTTATTCCAGTTCAGCAAACAATCAGTAGATTCGCAGCAGATGAGTCATGGAGAGCCCTGGGTGGAGCACCTGCTACACCTACTTTATAGTTTTTACCAAGAACAACTGTGGAATAGATGGAGATTGTTGAGGTGTGGGGCAGGAGGTGTTGAAAAATGGGAGAGTCATGGCAAAAGGCACTAAGTATTTGCCCTGGCACTGGATCATGTTTTTTCCTAGCCAGAACTTGAGTTTCTCATGCTAAACATCTTGTAGTCTTCCCCGTTATCATCCTAAAACCAGTTAAAAGAATGTTCCAACCTCTTTTCATACCTCCTCCTCCCTATCTTATCTTCTCACATCCTATGAGTATCTTACTGATAAGTTTTTGTGCCAAGTTTCCCAAAGTAAGAAGATCAATACTAAGAATTTATTGAGTTTTATTGAGTTTCCATTATGTGGTCATGATGGTGGTAGGGAATGGAGGTGGGACGAGAAGGGGATGTACTAGTTATGGTGTGGGGTATACAAAGATGAATAAGTGTTCTCTGTTGTCAAGGAGTTTGTAATTTAGTTGGTAAGATGAGATACAAATTTTGGAAAATAGTAAATAGTAATATGTTATTTAGTAAATAGTAATAGAGTAAATAGTAAAAATAGTAATGAATAAAAATGGTAAAAAATAAATAAAATAGTGATAAAAGATTTGAATTGTGGCTCAAGACAATAGCATAATAGGTATCATAAAAATCATAAAATAGGATCATAAGATCCTATGGGATAGGATCATAAAAAATAATATTTATATGTTGCTATAAAGTTTACCAAATACTATCCTCAAAAAAATTCTGTCAAATAAGCAGTACTATAACTATTATACTCATTTTATAGATGAGGGAACTAAGCGTCAGTTAAATAACTCACCCAGCATCACCCAGAAAAAGTAAGCATCAAAATCAGAATTTGAATGTAGGTCTTATGTCATATTCACTGCTTTTTTCTAGTATACCCATGAGGAAGTGCTGTAGAAAATCAGAAAATCAGAGGGACAAGAAAATTTTGGTCTGAAAGGTAGACTTGTGTGACCACTTCTATGGAGGAAATGACATTTGTGATGGGTCTGGAAGGACAGCTAGAATTCAAATAGATGGACAGAAAGTAGAAAGGCACTTGAGGGTGAGGTAGTAGAAAAATATAAGGTACCCTCAGGGAATAATGAAAAAGTAAATTTCATAAAAAAGCATCTACTTTTTGTTTTTTCAGGGGTGAAGTAATAAATGGAGGATTTGGCCTGGTGCTGGATGGAACTGAAGAAGCTGAACGGAAAGCTAGAATGATGCTAAGTTGGGATGTGTCCAACGGAGTAAGCAGATCGACAAACCTTGTTCCCTTAATTCTATCAAGGGCACCATTATCTTTTCTTGGTCCCAAATTTTGACTCTTCCCTTTCCATTCCCCTTGTCCAAATAGTCACTATGTTCTTTAAATCCTTCCTTCAAAATGTCTTGCTCTTGTCCTCTTTTTTCTTTCCTAAGACCACTATCCTATAGCTTGGGCTATGGCAAAGGCAATTTAGGCTTCTAATTTGTCTTCCAACTCTCTCCTTCTCCTCTTTCTCTCCCTCCCTCCCCCTCCTTCCTTTCCCCACCCCTCACACACACACACACACACACGCTGCCATTAAATCAATCTTCCTAAAACACAGATTTTACTGTATCAGTTTGCTTATCTCCAAGTTTCCAATGGCATCCCAACAGTGAATCATATTCATATCATTTGATCCAATATTCAATGTCCTCTACAACCTGACCTGATCCTGCCTATTCTTCTACCACAACTATGCTAAGAAACATAATCTTCTGTTTTGGAGTCACCAAACTCTAGACCTTTCCTCTTGTGTTTGTAGATAGATTATATTATTCAGGTAAAGCTATTAGGTAGTCAGGTCATGTCCTGCTTTTAAGTTCTGCATTTGAAAAATCCTCTTTTCCCCTTCATAATCTCCCATTTTACTAGAATCAGAGAAATGTTTTTGCATTCATTCAGTAAGAGCACTGGGTATTTACTGTGTGCCTGAAACTGTTACTTGCCATATGGGAGATTAAAAAAAAAATAGAAGTCACTTAACTCAATGACTTAAATAGAGAAATTTGAAGTGAATAGGTCAGGTTCCATGGAAAAATTCATCTGTGCAGCCAGATGCTTCCTTTTCATGGTCATTGACATATACCTTGTCCATCTGGAAGCTCTTCCCTGAGAAAAGACTCAGAAGACCAGGGATAAATCATACCTTGCCCCCAAGTGAAATCAGTAGACATTAGAGGATTCCCTGAAAAAGAGATGAGGTCATAAAAATTTAAGATGCAACTCAAAGGACACATATTTAATAAGGGAGGTCAATCTCCAGGATTGGGAAGAATTAACTGATTATATACCTATGAGCTTCATATTTTTAAAGGTCTCAGCATGGGGACATCAGTCCCATGTCACTCTCCTATGTCTACCTTCTTGTCACTGTTCAACAACCCCAAAGTTCAAGGTCTGGGACCATGGCTCCAGTATTCTAGGAACAACTTTGTATAGTTGAAAATTTCTTATGTGGTACCCATCCAAAGAAATTCAGTGGTACATGTCTTTGAATCTATACTGGAAACGTGGTTTTTTTTTGGGGGGGGTTTCTTTGTTTTTTCACATTGAAGCACCATCCACCTCATTTTGAAACCCTTATTGACAGGTAGCCCGGCGTTGCTGGTCTGGAAATAAGAAGGCATATGAAATCATCTGCCAGACAATGGAGGAAAATCAGAAACTGAATGTCACCCTTCCTTATGACGTACTAGATGAAAGCATTTTGGAAAAAGCTCTACGAATCTAGGCAAGGATCCAAGGAAGAAATTAGGCCTTTTTGCTGTATTTCTTCAACAATAGTAATTATCATCACTTATGTTTGCCTGGTTCTTTATCATTTCAAAAGCATCTTCCTATCAATTATCTCAGTTAAGTCTCATTACCTGCATTTTCCAGAGGGAGAAACTGAGGCTGAGATAGGTGAAGTGTCAGCCCACAAGCATTCATTAAATGCCTACTATGTGCTGGGCATAACCCAGAGTAGAACTCAGGTTTCCTGGCTCTCAGTTCAGTGCTGTTTCCACTACATTACCATGAATACCTTTAGCAGAGGGACTTGGAACACCACCTATTACCTCATTGTTACATTTTAGAGGGGATGTAATAAAGATTTATGAAACTGGTGAAGGATTGAGCATTTTTTTTTGCTTTCTAGTGAAGATTTTGGTGAAAATAGCTGTATAGGAGTCCAGTGGAGGAGTTTTTTCTTGAGAAACAAATAATCTAAACAAGCAGGAATGACCATGGCTTATGTTGAGATCAATGAGGAGGAGGGCTTCATTGAAGCAGAGGGTATATGTTGGGGAAAAGGGAAGGTTCAAATTAGTAAGATAGTATGAAGTTGGACTATAATGAACCTTGAAAATGGGCAGGAGAGTTGGTATGGCCATCAATTTCCATTGTTTTTAAATTTTCAAGATACCAATAGAAGACATGGTCTATTCATCATTATTAAAAATTTTGAGGTTCCAAACCAACCAACATGCATTTATTAAGCAGCTACTATATACCCAGAACTCTGCTAGACACTAGGGATACAAATATAAAGAATGAAAGGATAGGGGAATGTCATGAAAACCCAGAGAGGAGAGAGCATCCAGGATGAGAGGATAGTTGACAGTGTCAAATGCAGCAGATAGGTCAAGAAGGATGAAGACTGAGAAAATACCAGAAGACTTAGAAATTAAGAGATCATTGGTAATTTTATGGAGAGTAGCTTTTAATTGAGTAAGTTGGAAGCCAGATTAAAAGAGAAGAAAGAAATTATTAGGAGCAAGTGTAGACAGCTTTTTCTACTTTAGCTGAGAAAGGGAGGAGTCAAAGCACTATAACTTGAGGGGATGGTAGAGTTTAGTAAAGGTTTTTTAAGGATGAGGGAGACTTGGGTATACTTGAAGGCAGTAGAGAAGGAATGAGAAGATAGGGAGAGGTTGAAAAGCAGAGAGGGAAGAGATAATTGAGGATGCAATCTTTTGGAGAATATGGGAGGGGATGAGATCAACTGTACAGATAGAGGGACTGGCCTCTTCAAAGAGAAGAGCCACATCATTGTCAGAGACTAGGTGAAAAGAGGAGAGATTGGGGATTGAAGTCAAGGGGTTTTCAGATGAAAAGTAGAAGAGAGGTCATAGGGAATGGCCTTAATTTTCTCACTAAAATAAAGGGTGAGGTCCTCAGCCAAGGAGGACTGGATGAGGTCAGCTTAAGGAGAGGAGAGAAGGTTTGAAATGGATTCCTAGAGAATCAACTAGGGAGGAGTGAAAGGATAGCTTGATATAGTGAGAGCCTATTTGAAGTTGGATAACATGTACTCAAAGAGCAGGGTTGGGAAGCTTCTTCCAGTTCCATCAAAAGCAGGTGAACAGGAGCAGAAAAGGTAGAGTGGTGGTAATCCTCAACCGAGGTAAAAGACAAACAGTGTTAGGACAATGGGGCTGAAGTATTCAAGATTCAAGGACAGTGTAGAGTTAACTTGGCTAACTATAAGGCTGACATGAGAAAGGAAGGAACGTGAAGTCAGAGCTGGGGTAATGGATTGAGAAAGTACTAAATGGTAGGGAGATATGGAGATTTTGATAGGAGTAAGGTATAGGTTTGGGAGAAGTAAGGTATAGGGAAAGGCTCAGACAGAGGAAAGTTGACAGCTTTCTACTTTTAAAGCAAGAAAACGAATTGCTTTATTTCTGCTGCAGGTGGTTTGCTTTGCCTCTGGAAGGAATGCTTTTTGAAAAATTAAACTATAATAGATCAAGCAGGGAATACTAGTGCAATCTATATAAGCTCTAAAAATTCATAATCTAACTCTTACTCTCACAGATTAGTTTGAGCCCCCCTCCCCCTCATAGTTTTAGAGATATCTCTGAGTAGGCAGTGTTACTCTGATGCCATTAGCTTGAACCTCTACTAGTGTGCTTCCCCTCAAGATGATGTACAGAGAATTATTTTATTCATCCAACCTTATGTGCCCATTTTAGGAAGGGGCATTCACTAAAGTGACATAGTAAGAACATTTGGTACAAAACATCTCCACAGTCTGTGACAGACTCTCCTTTAAGTACACACAGAGTTAAGGGGCAAGCGTGCTCAGGCTTTGACAACATGTAGCAAAGGGGTAACTCAGCTTGTGGCTGCTAGAACTCTTTTTCCCATTGGTGGGGTGTTCCAGAAGTCTCCCCTAAGCATAGTGTAATTTCTTTGCGGGAAGTCTGAGTTCACGTCCAGCCTGTTCTTAGCGCCCAGTACGGGCACCACCATAGCTGGTCTGGGGATGCCACTAGAACACCAGCGTGGAGATAGGAAGCCCCAAATCTTTTAGAACCTCTAAAGACTGCAAGGTCTTCCTCCAGCCAAAGGGGAGGGATGTGGAGGAGACTCATGGTGAAGCTAAGGCTTCTTTTTCCCTTACCTCCTTAGGGGTTTTTACTAGATTGCTACGGATGCTTAGAGGCAGTGAGGTGGCACAGTGGATAGTGTTAGACTTGGAACTGAGTTTAAGGTGTCTATGGGACATCTAATTTGAAATATTCAATATCACTAGTTGATGTGGGACTGGAGCTTAGCAGACGGATTAGGGTTGAATATATGGATTTGTAAATTACCTGCAGGGCAGCGAGGTGGCACAGTAGATAGAAAACCCTGCCTGGAGTCAGGAAGACCCAAGTTCAAATCTGACCTCAGACCCTAACTAGCTGTGTGACCCTGCGCAAGTCACTTAACTCTGTTTGCCTTAGTTTGTTTCTTCATCTCTAACATGAGTTAGAGAAGGAAATAACAAACCACTCCAGTATCTTTGGCCAATAAAACCCCAAATAGGGTCACAAAGAGTCAGATATAATGTCCCCCCAATACTGAACCCTCACAACTGTTTTCATTTCTTTCATGGCACATACACACTTTGTAGTAAAATCGTTTGTATATGAATCTTTTCTTCCCCTTTGAGACGTTATTAGGGTCTCAGGGTCTGGGACTTGGTCTTTTTCTATCTCCTATGGTTCACAGGACCTGGGACCATGCCAGGTTAAAGTGGTGGATGCTCTGTGAATATCTGCTGAGTTCCCTCAAAAAAAAGGGGCTTGTTTTCAGTTCCACAGCAGAAGAGAAAATGAGAAGGCCGTCTATCTGAGTTAAAAGATAATATCACATTGCTTCTTGTGACTTCCGTTCACAGATCTCTGTATCTGAGGGTAAAAGTTCTCTCTAGTAACTATGGGTCAGTAGTTGTCTAGCTAGAGTTTAGCAGCTAGACCAAAAGCTATGATGGTAACAATTCTATGAACCAGAAGATTTGCACCTATTATTATTTTTCCAGAAAGCTTTCTAAGACTCTAAGTTTCAGATGAGTTATAGATGTTAATGAGTTGATGATGCAAATGAGTTACTCTCACTTACAAGAGACTTTCTGGAAATAACCCTTCTCATATACCTCCTCTGTCCTTCCCCATCTTGCTGTGAAGATGTTGATTGCCTTTGGCATTGATTGGCTCTTCTGATACTTCGGTTAAGCCCCTCTAGTTCTCAGACTACAACAATAATTCATAGATGGAAGAGCCAAGTGCTTCCTAGACAAATTCAGACATTGACATTGAAAGATGACATTTTGTTTGTGTCAGTTATAGAGAAATGCAGAGAATTTATAGTCCTTTAAAATTTTGAGAGCAAAAGTTTGAGTAGATATCTTAAAAAAATTCAATATTTGGGGACTAAGATTTCTCTATGACCCTATATATACAGCAGTGGACCAAAATATTCTTGGATCGTAAAGTTGTCCTAAGAAATTATCTACAGCAGAGGGTGCTGTAGGCCTAATGAAACCAACTAAGCAGGCAATAGTTTGAAACAAAAATAAAAACAAAATTAGTGGTTTTAAAAGTATTCACTACTTCATGCAAAAACATTGCAAAAAGGAAAAAAGATATACTTTGTTCAGAAATATACACAAAAGTTCTGTTTATAACAGGAAAACTTGGAAATAATTGATATTCTACCCATCCCTCAATTGTAGAATTATGAAATAAATCATGGTATGATAGTGGAATTTAATGGTGATGCAAAAAAAACCCACAACCTAATGTATAGGGGGGAAATGTCAAGAACTACTCAAAGTGGTGCAAAAGTAGTTCAAAAAACCAGAAATGTACACACAGCGACCACAACTAAATGTAATTTCTTAAAAGGGACAAGAAACAACGTCAGAGGTTAAAAAAAGAAACCCAACTTCTGACAGACTTGAAAGGTCTAGCAGGACAAAAATACTTTTATATATTGTTTGTTGGTTCATTTAACTCAACCCTACTAAATGTTAAGAGTTTATGTAAGATTTTACTTGCTTTGTTTATTTGTTTTACTGATAGTTGTTTAAAATAAAGATATTTTACAGGTTCTACATCCTTATACAACCACAACATATAAGGAAGCACGTCTATAGTATCTACTCTGGGACCATGGGCAACAAATACAAACAGAGAGATTATCTCTTTGACCTCTCAGAGTAGCCCCGATTTCAAGAAAAGAAAGGTGTATTTATTAACAAGGCTTTGCAAAAGGAATGCTTTGTCAGGCCATGTGTCCTGATTTTTTGCTGGGGAAATATGGTTATTATAATTATAAGACATAGCCCCAGCCCTTTAGATGTGTACAATAATATTCAGGACACAAAAGCTGGCTACTACTTGGTTCTGGTACTCATCATGTCTCACCTGAATTATTATGCCAGCTTCCTATTTTGACCTTCCTGACTTATCTTAAGCACATATCCTACTGTGTCATTCTCCTCACTCCATAAACCCCAAGAGGCTCCCTATTGCCTTTAGAATAGACTGGAAACTTCTCAGTTTGACTCTTCAAGCCCTTCACAATTTTGCCCCGTTCTAGCTTTCTTGCCTTATTGCACCTTACAATCTTTCCCACACTCTGTGGTCCAGCCAAACCAGCCTTCTCTCTGACCTCACATATGGCACCCCAGCTCCTGTGTCTGTACTTTTTATACAGGCTTGCTCCTCCATTCTTGGAGGACATGCCTGCCCCCCACAGTACCCCTGACTTCCTTCAAGATGGCAGCTTATGCACCACTTTCTGCTACAGTATGCCTTTCAACATCTCTTGTCTTTGAAGTGTATTTCCCTCCAAGTACATTGTGTTTCTTTTGTATTTATTCTGTATACGTGTATAAGTGTGTGAGTAGAGTGTAAGCTCCTTGAGCACAGAGATTGTCTCATTATTTGGTCTATTTTATTCCTAGAACCTGGCACAGTGCCTGGTAGATAACAGGTGCTGAGTAAATCTTGTTGATTGTC